GCAGATTGAAACCAACTGAATACAGCTAGCCTTCTAAGCATGTAGGAGAAACTACGGTGGCAGCAAAAACAGCAAAAAGCCCTATCTAGAACAAGTGTTTGTCTGTTCTGGGCTCCTGTAGAAACATAGCAGTTCAACATCCTCCACAGAGGACCTGCTCCTGCGGTATCTTCAGGGGATAGTGATACACTAATGAAAACATACTTGTATCTAATATCTTGAATTTCCCTCTGGATAAATAAACTTATCCTATACTATCATCATCTATCTATTATCTAATCTATCAATATTATCCATATCACTATCATACATCTATCGGTATACTATCCCATTCTGCAGATAGATACCTGGATAAATGGTTACACACTGGACCTTTAAAGAAATAAATTGACATTTTGGGAAATAAGTTTATTCCCTTTCATGCCCAGAGTTAGATGAGAAGGTAAATTCCACTCTCGTGTCTGTATGATAAATAGGAAGCTAGAGCCAGCAGTCGATTAGCGTAGCTTCTAGCATAAAGCCTGGAAACAGTGGGAAACTACTAGCCGGGCTCTGCCCAGAGGTAAAAAAACCCACCTACCTGCACCTCTAAGTATAGAACGACACGTTGAGGTTTTTACGTACTGACATGAGAGCGGTATTTATCTTGTATCCCGTGGCAAGAAAGCAAGTAATCTTATTTTCCCAAAATGTCCATGGCAGCTTCCTCTACCTTGAGAAGGCCAAGTGAGGGAGAAAACTTGAGAAGTTCCTCAATGACGCTGTTGTGTCCCTTAAAAGCTGCTTTGAATAACGCTGTTGATCCATCCTTGAAAGACAACAGAGATAAAATACAATTATTTAACAAAACAATCTCCAATCAGTGGACTCTTACTCACTTTCTCTGAAGCTTTCAACTATATCACATGGTCCTCATCTGCAGAGTTTACTCAGTTATGGAACTGTATATGGCAGTAGCAGTACGCATATTGATCATTTGGATAAGAGGGCTACTTCTTGTCTTGTTTTGGACAAGAGGACGAAAATGACACCAATCAATAATCCCTTTATGTGCACTTTCTCTGTACTGCATCTACCACATACTTGTCTGTCAGCATCCCGATCGGCACCACGTAAGAGAAGCACCTTCACCACCTCACTGTGACCCATCTGAGCTGCCATCCACAGGGGGGCAGTGCCATCCTGGAGAACACATGGATGAGGAGGTGGGGGATGCAGTGATGAAGGACATAAGAGAGAGGAGGTAAAAAGAAAGAGGAACATTAGAGTCTCTGCGGTCACAAGTTAACCTGGAGGGATGAAAAAGAGGAGGTGTGAGCTAAAGAGGGAGAAATCTCTAAATATGCTAAGGAGGCGAGGACATTACCTCTCTCGCTTGGTTAACCTTGGCACCATTTGAAAGCAGCTGACGAATCACGGTCACATGACCCTCCTGGGCAGCGAGGAACAGAGAGGTGGCACCATCCTGAAACATAAAAGAATCATCTCATACACTTTTCTTATGTACTTGATAAAACAAACGGTCATACAAGGTTCCAACTAAGCAAAAAGTACATTAATAACAAGTTACTATATTACTACTATTTTATAAATGTATGTTTGTGCAGTCAGGTTGTTTTCCCCTGCCTAAGGACAGGCGCTAATCCTGCCAAATGTCAGTCATTTATGACTCAGCAGAAACCTGAGAGGCTGGATTCCAGCTGCTGGGACATTGTGTGCAACTAACCATCATGTTCCTGATAGACAGAGGTACTGACAGTGGGAGGAGACAGGTCTGAAAGAGGTCTGATGCAAAGGGGCTCACATTCAGCTGGTCATGAACATTGGCTCCATTCTTCAACAGAGTCTCCACCACCTTGGAGTGTCCGTACTGAGAGGCGACAGTGACAGCCGTGCCACCGTCCTGAAAACAAAAAAAAATATTTGATAGTCACCACTGTGTGTTACATGCTTCAGAGGAACATCTCTAAAATCCCCAAAGGTGTAAAAAAAGCAGCCTGAGCAGCATTTTTATGTGCATCATTTTTGCCCCCTTATCTCTGCACAAAACACTCACAGTCTGAGAAGATAGCATCACAGCGGTCTCCATCACGCCCAGTATAATAAAGACTGTGACACACGTCATTGTGTCCTGCTACATACCTTTGTCTGGAATTCAGTGGAGGCACCGAATTCAAAGAGGAGCTTTACAATGTCATTGTGACCCTGCTGGGAGGCGAAGAACAGGGCGGTGGAACCTGTCTGGAGAGGACGATAAAAAAGATACTGCTGTTGTCATTTTTAAAACAACAGCTTTCCATTTTTGTGTGTATTTGAAATTTAGAACATTAAAAACATGCAATTAAAGGCCTTGTTCAGAAGTCTTCAGAAGCAAGTTGTTTCAGGTAGATTTTGCTTTCATCTTGAAGCTGCCCATGGTCGCAATTTCTGCCGGCCAGTTCTTATTCTCAAACTCACGACTATGAATTATGTCAAGTTTTTTCCACTTTTCAAACATAAAACTAACATTACAGAAGCTTTATTTAAAGGAACAGTTTAACATTCTTAAGAAAAATGCTTATTCACTTTGGTTGCTGGGAATAAGATGAGAAGACTGATACCACTCTCACCCCTGTGTGCTAAATATACAGCTGCAGCCAGAGGACAATTAGCTTAGCTTAGCACAAAGACAGAAAACTTTCGGACAAAAAATGAAGCATGAAAACAAAAATTTGCTATTTTCTGGGGGTTGTGCCGGACTATGTTTTGACTGGGAGCAGCGACTTCCTGGAGTCTTCTCTGGTTAGCTTAGCTTAGCACATAATGGAAACAGCTAGCAGGGATCTGTCCACAGCTAAAAGAATCCAGGGTACCAACACCTCTAAAGCTCGCTAAGTAACATATCTCATTTGTTGAAGTTCGTCAAAATCTGGGGTTTTCCTGGACTATTTCTTGGCCGGGAGCAGTGACTTCCTGGAGACTGGTTACCTAGAAACCAGAGACTCCAGATTCACTGACACTTTAAGTTTGTAATCCAGAATGGGTTAGCCAGTGATTTTCCCATCATACCTCTCTCTGGTAGTTGATTTCAGCTCCCTGCATGATGAGTTCTTTGACGCACTCATAATGGCCGCTGTACGACGCCACCATCAGCGCAGTGGTTCCATACTGAAAAGAAACATGGCAACAATAAGTTAGCAACCTTTGGAGTTTTATAGGGATGACTTGCTAAAAAAGTACTTTACATGTGGTGATGAAACTGCGCAGACTTTCCACTTTCACACAAGAAACCCTCACCCTTTATTATGATGAAAAAGAAAAAAAGATCAAATGGGTGTGAAATTATGTCGGTACACATGCACCACAGAGGTAAGGCTTGAAGCTCTCTGTCTCCCTACCACAGGTGGGTTATGGTTAAAGCGTGCAGCTGAGCAGCCAGGACATGCAGCGTCCGTACACTGTCTCTGCAGTCTGCGTCCACACGCCCACTGTTGAGCAGCAGCTGAAGTAGGGCCAAGTTCCCCTTCCTCGCTGCCCAAAACACAGCATTAGCCAGGGGTGTTTCCTTCTGGAGGGTAAATACACACAACAACCGCTGACCTTAAACCACCATTATAGTATTATACACACTGACAGTAGAGTACAACCAGTAGAAACAGCGCAGAGTGTCGTTCTCAGGTGTAGAGGTTTACCGGTTTAAGGTGTCTGGGTGTGAATGACATCAATCAGGTGTGCCAGCTGATCAATAATCAAACACACACACACACACACACTCTTTTCCTCTGTGTCAGAATTGACTAAAGGTATTTGAATTAAGTTTTTTGTTTTTGCATCAAACAGCTCATGCAAACATACACACGTGCACACTACACAGGTGTGAAATATAAGTGGGACCACTGACAGGCCATTTGACACCCTATTACGAACGCACGCGCACGCGCACGAGCACAGGATAGACGGTATAATTTGCTTTTAAGTCCGTAAATAGCCACTTTAACTCCAACTCACACCGGTTTCCATTACAGTTAAACACAGCACGTCTTTAAATAAACACTGAAATGAATTAAGTGTACAGTTGCACAGGAAGCAGGTGTAATCTGTTTTCCCATTGAGGGCCTGATGTAGGCTGACGGATGGAAAAGGCTGCTTTACCTTAAAAGACATGATCCTGCAGACCTCATTCGTGACTCATGTTTCTTCCTGAGCTCTCATTCATTAGAGACGATGCTGAGCGACAGTCGCCTGTTTTGCCGCACTGTGTTTGGGTGTTGGCGGCGCCCGTTCGCGGACATAATAACAGCCAGACAGTCAGCTGAGCTCATCCTCTGCAGTCAGTGCTGCACGGACGGTTCAGTGCGGGCCACCGGAGGGCGCTGCGGAGCACACACACACACACACAGTCATCTGTCAGTGAAAGCCAGGTGGATGGATTCAATGGAAGTGACTAAGTACATTTACTAAACCGTGCTTAAGTATAATCTTGAGGTACACGTACTTTACACCAGTATTTCTGTTTTGTTGCTATATCTTCTATTTGTTCTCTGCTTTTTACTCCACTACACTTATCCTCCTGAATTTCTCCTAGCTATTTGGGATTAGTAGGACATGATAAACATAAAAACCAAGCATTATATTTAAACAATTAGTAGTTTTCCAAAAATGATGTCGTCATTTGAGGACATCAGGACTTTATTTACTATAAAATGTGTCCCCATATGAGAACGCAGAGTCGCAGGAGGCTAAGTGACAGTTTAAGTTATTAGTTATTTTACAGATTAAGATTAAATAAATTTATATTAGGATTATAAAAAACAACACATTGTTAAAGATTAAAATCCCCCTCCACTCAAAAATAACTTTTTCTTCTTGTTCCTACAGTGTGACGTTTGAACTTCACTGTTCAGAAAAGTAGATACATTCATCAACTCAAGGATGGATTTTAATGTGAAAATTATTATTTTTTGTGAAAAAAATAAATAAATCAGACACACGGTATTGTTCCAAACCTACTATTTGTATATGTCGTAAAACATGTCTAGAGAGGATCTTTAAACGAGTCCCTTTACAGTGTCTAACTGGGGACCCTTGTCACATTTCTGATTTCTGTATCTTTAACACCATATTGAGTTATCAGCAGTTCTTACAGAGTGACTTACACCTCTGAACTTCTCTGATGGTTTCAATTAATTAACTTGTCCAAGCCCAAAGATGTCAAATGATTCATCATTTCACATAATTACAAAGATCAGAGAAAAGTTAAAAAGAGAATACCACCTTATTTTCTGCACCATCAGTAATCTTAAGTCCCACAGATCTATTAACCAAATATTACAGAAAATGAATACAAATGTGTCCCTCATTTATTTTGTCACCTCGACCAGCTACAAAAGTGAAATTCTGGTTACACGGTGATGCATCAGTATTAATAATCTTATTCTGTCATTATAATAATATATCATTCACCGGAGCCTTTCTGCATTATACTTAGCCTACACTTCTGTACTTTTGTAGGATTTTGAATGCAGGACTTTCACTGGTAATGAAGTATTTTTACATGAATGTACTGGCACTTTGTAGGTAATCTGTATACTCGTTGCACCACTGGTTTTGGAAAGTTGATGTCAGGTGTTACGGTCAATTATAAACCGGTATTTGAAGGATTTACAATATTGCAGCTTTAGCTCTCTCTAAATGATAATAGAGGTATTACTGAGGAGGAGCAGGGAAAGCATCTTATTTTTGTTGACTAATGTCCCTCTCAGGTGCTGCCGTAAGTGTTGATTTAGGGATTCAGTAAAGTATAGTGGAAACATGTACTAGTTGCAAGGCTATATAAGGACAGTTGACAGTGAGTCTGTTGCAGTGTGGCTGTCCAGAGTCACTTTCACACCATGGGAACAAAACGGACTCACATACATGCAGGTAAGTAGGCTATGGATTTTTATTTCAAATGAAGTGCAGTCTTTGGCAAAACAACAGAAACCTGAAAGTGAATCTTTTATTTTAAAGACACATTGGTCAGTTTTATTAAATGTCAGATGTCTACAGATGTTAATGCTTCTGAGTGTATAATATTTTGGCTTTTAGGTTAGAAAAAACACCCTCGTTTCACTGAAGGTGAACAGAATAACCTCTGCAAAATCAAATTACATTTTAGTGAGGTTTTTACAAATTAGGTTTTCTAAAGAGGTCCACAAGAGAACAAATTCAGTATCAACCCCACCTTCGAAATTCTATCCTCCATTTTTACAGAAGGAAGTTACTGTCTTATTTCTTTACTCTACAAGAGCACAGTTTATTTTAGAAGTTCTGGTGCAGGTGATTAACTAAAATGGCACATTTTGGACTCAAGGTTTTCAAAGGAAGATATGAAAATGTAGCAGATGAGTCAGAAGAAGACTTGCTGCCACCCTGTATAAAATGACTTCACAAACACTACACAACTGTAACTTGAAATGAGTATGTCCTCTGATATGCTCAACTCAGCATAAGTAAGTAACAGGAATCTCTCTGATGATTTGAACAACAAAGATTTAATTAACCAGAACATACTGACCAGATGATTTAAATTGTATTTAATAACAAAACCAACAATTCAAAGTGTCCCAATACTTATGCTACTGATTTAGCTGTGAATGACAATTAACAAGCTGTGATAATAACACATTTTTTAAGCAGGTACAAACAAAAGGTTTGACTCTAATGTGATGTTTTTGTCCCTGTAGTGCAGCAGGCCAGCCTCCTGCTGAGAGCAGTTCTTCTCTTTGCAGTGCTGTGTGGCCCACAGCACGTAGCGTCAGACTCAGACGAGGCGATCCTGACTGAGTGGGAGATCTGGAAGAGCAGCAATGGCATAGCCTACGAAGAAATGGTGAGACTGACTCCACATCTAAAATACAAGCACTGACACTAAGTGCATATATGCTCTGATCCATCTGAATCTTTCTGTGATGTGTTTTGTGTTGTTATGCAGGACGACATGCAAAGGAGGGTCATCTGGGAGGACAACAAGCGGAAAATTGAAGACAACAATCAAGGGTTTTTTATGGGGATGAGGCCCTTCAGTATGGTCATGAATAAATATGGAGACCTGGTAAGGAGTAGTGTTTTCCTCTCTATGCTAAAAACTTTACTACGTACAATCCCAACTTAAAGTCACACAAAGCTGCATTTCCACGAAATAGTCCAAAACCATAAATTGACATTTTTTGTTTTAAATAATGTTGATAAATAATGTGATTTTTAGAGATGCTGGTAGTTGGATTTTGTTACCTTTGTACAGAGACAGATGAGCTTTTCCCCCCTGTTTCCTATGATTCTGCTAAGCTAAGCTAAAGGTATTCTGGCTACAGATATTTCCCGAACAGACACAATAGTGGTATCAATCAATCATTCAATGAGCCATTGCACTCAAGTCCCAAATCAAGAGACGGATCGGTTCAAACAAAGTGGATGTGGAAGTGTACACTTGCTGGGAATTAATAGCTTTTTCAGCTTTTTAAATAACATATTTAATCTTTGGGCTTGCGAGAAGGTATCAAGTATTTTCAAGTTAAAAGGCTCAAGTTCAAGTGATTAAAGTCTAAGTCAATTTGGAAGTCTTTTTTAATTTTGTCAATTCAAGTCTGACTTGAGTCTGACTCGAGTCCAAGTCATGTGACTTGAGTTCACGCAGCTGAAATAAGGTATGTTGTTTTTAATAACTGATTTGCCATATTGTGGATATCAATAAGATGAATTATTGGGAAACAATCTTCTTTGTGTTCTCCACATGTAGACAAGACAAGAATATCAGGTTTTGCAAGGTGCCAGGATAGATGCGCAATTCGCGAAGAGAGGGAGGACTGTCTCGTCCCGAAGGCTGCGTAACGTTGCTAAGAAGTTAGATGCTTGGGTTGTCGACTACAGGAACATGGGTTATGTCACTGAGGTGAAAGACCAGGTAAGACTCCTAAATTCACTTTGAGTGGGTTTTATCCAGACTGAATCACGTACACCTTCAAATCCACTGTGGTTTAAATGTTCTTCACAGGGTTACTGTGGCTCGTGCTGGGCCTTCAGCACCACGGGAGCTATCGAGGGACAAATATACAAGAGGACGGGTCAGCTTGTATCTCTGAGTGAACAAAACCTGGTGGACTGCTCCAAATCTTATGGTACCTATGGCTGCAATGGTGCCTGGATGGCCAACGCCTACGACTACGTGGTCAGCAACGGGCTGCAGTCGACAAGCACCTACCCATACACCTCAGTGGTGAGGCTCAACCTGCTGGCTACACCTCCCTCTGAACACTTATAACAGTTCATTACTCTGTGGCCAGCATGCCATTAACTTTAAACTCTGTATTTCTCTCAACAGGACACCCAGCCCTGTTACTACGACAGCAGACTTGCAGTTGCCCATGTCAAAGACTACAGGTTCATACCCAAAGGAGATGAGCAGGCCCTGGCTGATGCCGTGGCAACTATCGGGCCAATCACAGTAGCTATTGATGCAGATCATGCAAGCTTCCTGTTCTACAGCTCAGGTTAGTTACCTTAAAAAACTTCCTCTATACAATTGCTATGTCAGCGATTAAAGACTCTCTTTATAATCAATATTTTCATACTGACAATGCAATATAATTTCTATGGCTATGTGAAACAAATTTATTGTGGTTACAAACATGAGCTGATTCCCCTCAGCTCTATTGAGTTCTGTAGCATCTCTTAGCTCACTATTTTGTAAAATGTTTCTGATAAACCCACTGTAGTCTACCTGCCCAGCGCCAAATGACAGACAAAGTTAGCAACTAGC